TATATATATATTAAAAATATAGTTTTCAAAAATTACGATGAGACGTTAGAAAGCAGCTTCCTTTACAAGAAATTCTACAAAGTTGAACTTTATAACACAAGGATGCCTCTTGTTCCCTCCACGGTCTCGTTCGATATTACGAAGACGTTTCGAACGATGGTTATGGCAAGTGGTAATACTGCGTAATGGTCAGACAGAAACGAAAACTAAGTTAGAATGAGTCTTGTATTTAAACAAAAAATAATTTAATGTTAATTAAAAAAAGTACATAAATAGGTTAGGTAAGTTGAAACATATAAGTAGTCAGGTAATGCTCAAATAAAAATCAATTAAATTTTCAAACTTACTACAGCAATGATAGTAAAATAATGATGAATCCCAATTAATAACGCGTAATTAGTGGTAACTAGAGAATTATTGTTAGATTGTCAGACAATATGACGTAAGAAACTAATTTATATGATGGTAAATCCTGCACTCCATCCAAAAATTAGTTATAAGTAGTACAGTCAAGTAGAAATATCGCAGTTTGGTCAGACAACAGGACAAAATTTTTTTATTCCTTAGGTGAGGCAATTCAACGAGTGTATCTCATTGAATTTAGTTTAATAATACAAAAAAATAGTATAAAGATTATTTTGGCGTTTTAATCGAAAGTTATTCATGATAAATGATTATGGTAAAAAATACAGCCGTATCACGGGAGCCAATCATATGTGTACATAATTTCTGGTACGATGACAAATATTTTCGAAGATGAAAGCATAATTGCCATTGTTATTCGTGAGTAATAAAAAAAATCCATTTAATTAGACAACTTTAACGTAAAAAGCATTGTTAAAGTAATAGGAAAGGGAATCTCTAACATTCCTGTACCTTGATTGTTCAACAAAAAAGGTATCCCTAAACTTTGACAATACAATGAAGTGAATAAGAATTCGTGAAAAATTTAAATAAACTCAAACAATTATTTGCATACGACAGGTACACTTGTAATCATCCCCACGAGCGCACTCACGTACTTTCGCACGCAGATGCGTACAAATCGTGGCGATATATTCTTTATCGAGGATTACCGAACCGTGCAAACCTCGTCCCGCGAAGCGGGTGCGAACTTGTATTTACGCATGTTCGCTGAATACCTTGACTCTACAGAGCTTCGACACACGTACATGCTCTCACTAATACGATCACGTGTACGTTTGAACGTTTGCTTGACTAATTTCAATGGCTTTCGCTTGAACGACATAATTGCAAGGTTCACGTTACTCTCACTGTGGGAAAGGGTATTACCTACCAATATACGTGTGAATCTTGTTTCATTTAATAATTAGGGAATGCCAAATGAGCGGATGTTAAATAAATCGTATGGACTTTTATTGCTGTTACAAATGTATATTGTTCATTACAAAAGCTCATGATCTCAGTTTATTATTAATATTTACAAATGCATAGTATCCTCGCTTGACCAAGTGAAACCGATTGAGCATCGAGGTTTCGTTAGTTCGACTATTGGAGGAAAAAAAGATGTTTGCTTCGGATGCTCGGTCTGACGTATTGCTGACTTGTGGTTATCGAGTGAAATGCTCGCAGGACTTTCGAAGAAAGTTCAAAGTAATCCTGTACGTTTGACCTGGTGGCTGATACTAACACTTCTGGTTTCTGATCGTCTCCGTTTATTCGCGTACATAAAATCGAAGCGATCCAGGCTGCTGTAAATCTCACGTCATCGGGCGTTTATAGGGAAAGTTTTGAATTCGTTTGTAAATTCTCTCTTTTACTCCAGGCCCTTTAAACACACGTTCCTTATTGCGACCAAGTTTTAAATTTATTCCTACCGAAGCGTATTGGCGTTTAGAAAAATACTAGCGTTTTTTACAATGACACAACAAGAAATAACGTATCGCTTAAATTATACAACATTGTAAACAAAGCTTCATTATTACGTAATAAAGATTTTTTTGTGCTTACTTATAGACTATTGCTTACACTTACATGTACATAAAAAAAAAGAAAAAAAAAAGAAAGTTACAATATACTTTTGGTCTTGAGCTCAGGTGCGCACGATTATAAGTTACGATATTTCCTTAAAATTACGTGTAGTTAGGTACTCGTATGTCTTCATTCGTATAAAACAACGCGATAGGCATTTACTTATTCATAAGACTGTACATCATGTAGTAAGGCAATTTAAAAAAATTTTGATAACAAAAGTCTTAGTTCCTTTCGTCTCGTCCATGGAGGTCCAAATCGACTTGTTGCAGCAAATCTGGCTCTAAAACAAAAGAAAAAAAAACAGTACATACGCTGTGGCATACAAAAAGTTCATAAAAATTCGAGGCACACGCACATACGGTGTATAACGAAGTCAATAATAAAACGCAGCCAGCGGAAGAGAAATCCCAGCAATATCTTTCCCCCCAAACAGACTATTTTAATTGATTTTGATTTTCGTTGGACGTCAGCGCTCGTGGGCGCCTTTCCACTCGAGCTGTCGAAAAAGGCCCCCCGAAAAATGGAGTTCCGCACTCTGGCCACGGCGCAATCGCTTCGAACTCTTCCGCTCTATTCCTCTCTCTATCTCTCTGGGAGATCTTGTCTATACATGTATATGTACGTCACTCCACGTTCAATCGGCCCTTTCCGGCTGCCCGAGCAGTCGCTACTACACACCACACTCTCGTGCACACGCGTTTTTTCTTTCACATCGACGACCGAATGTTTTTCGCGACATCAGCAGAGGGCGAGTACACAATTATTATTACGTGTTTTTCCCGTTGGATTGAAAAATCGGGCATAACGGTGCACAACGAGCTTTCACGGGTCAGCGAAGCACCGGGTGCGTCGCACCGAGTTATCTCCAGTCCGGATTTATTGCTCAATTTTCGAAAATATTCCGAGTGTATTCATTACCGGGTACGTTAGCACGACTGAAACGTATTTTCGAGCATTCGGTTCCACGGGGAAAAAAAAAAAAAAAAAAAAACAATTTGAAACATTTTTACATCGCTCGAAAAATTTGTATTTACCGCCTGATGCACTTTAACGATTCGACACGATTACCCCCCCAGGTTGCTGTGTATATATTTGCCCGTTGAATCTCGTTGTTCCTTTTATGAGGGGAATTTGAAAAATAAAGTAATCGACTGATTCGAAAGAAAAAAAAGGAACCGTAAGCCTTAAATATTTAAAGTGTCGATATACTACTTCCCGATAGAGCATCGAATCGAGCCAAGGAGCTCCCGAAACGCCGAATTCTTTTCCAAGTCGCATCGCGTGGAAGAAAAAAAACGCACCTATGGACCGAGCATAACCGACAAAGACAACGGCGGTCGAAAACTTGGAATAGCTCGGATAAGCCGGGAGGGGGTGGGCGAGCCGTCAAATTCCGGCAGAGGCGTCGCCGCGTCGCGAGAAGCAGATACCGTACGCACGGCCACATACTCTCTCGCGCCCCAACGCCCACTCGCGTGTGTGTGTATGTATACACGTGCAACTCGGAAGAATCGGTCACCTCGGCAGCCCGAATAGTTCTCGCCACAGCGGGAATTAGATCCCGAACTAGTTAACCCACCCCAAGGCTGCACGCGCGCCCACCGCATTCGCGGGCTCTTGTCGGGTGTTATCACCGCACAAACTTGCGACTGCAAAAGTTACTGCTCTCGGCACGCGGCGACACCAGCAATGAGGCTCTCTTCCCCCCCCCCCACCTCGTCTTACCACGCGCGTCCGGTCTCCTCTGTGTTGGACTAGATTCGCCGCCCAGGCCTGTTTCGTGGTACAATTTGTACGTTATACGTAGGAACGTGTGTGCACGAGTTCGCATAAATACGTAAACAAGCATCATGCACGCAAGCCCAGGGGGAATGACTTCCCTCAGAGCGTGTCGTCGCGTAGCGCGTGCCAAGATATTAATCAAGTGCTAATCGAAATCGCGAACCCCTCGGGCTCGCCGCGAGTATGCGTTCGATGTGGCTTGCTGTTGTGCTCACTGCACGTGTGAGCTTTGTGCGGAGGGTTGAATTGAAGCTCACGTGGCGTCTTTGATGGCGTTTGCCATCCAATTGTCTTTGATGGTTTCACGGGGGGTTCTTTTTTTTTTCTAATTTCAAATATAATAACACATCCATTGTGTTACGACTTTGCGGGTATCGCGTGTCAGACCCACCGCTCGAGCTCAAGTCTCTATATGATGTAGAGGTATGGCACGTGTCTTTGACACTGAGCCGTCTAATCTGGGACCAAAGTTCATCGAGTGAAGCTGCGCGCTTCCATACCGTATAACATGGTATCCTGAGTGTTTCCTCCCAATTTGACGAAAATTGTATAGTTTATACCTTTCGGATCTTCTACGTGTATTATTCAACTGAATCTTCAGTATTGCAATGATCTCCCTTCGTTTCTTACTTTTTTTACAACTTGACAGGACGAAATTCAATTTAAATCATTTCCAAGGGGAGAGGGAAAACGCAATAGTTGTGTAAATGTAACCCCCCACTACCGGCGAATCATTAAACTTTATCAAACCTCACGTGGGACCAAAGTCATACATTTCCCTTATATTAATTACAGTTCCCAGAGCAATTACTGGTTTTCGAATGCAGTCTCTGTACACAGGGTAACAGCAGTTACTTTGAATTTACCGAAGACGTATGTACACGCTCGAACTATAATAGACTTATACCAATACCGTCACGAGCCAACACACGACCCGTGTAGCATTGATTTATAAAATTTTTTTTCCATCAAAGCCCCGATTCCTTTCTGAAGCGTGAACCAACTAAATAAACAAAAGTCGAAAATCCCCTTGCACGTACCGAAAAACAGGACGCCCGGTGGAGCTCAGGAATTTTCCCGGCGCACTCTAATTAACGATAGCCGCTGCAGGCAAAAGCTCTCTCTTTTGCGACATACTCCCAAGAGTTCCCACCCACTTTGGCCCGCTCGGGTTGTTCAGTCGAGAGAGGCACAGCCTTGCGCGGGTGTGGCATATACACGTACACAAAAGAAAGTAAGCTCGAAAACCACGAGCGCGGTCTGGGTGGCCGGTCGTTTCACGCGACGTTATCACGCTTCGGGGCGACAAGTGCCCGCGCGTGTACCCCCTAAGCTCCGAAACGGCGCCGCCGTGGCCTGGCTTTAATTTTTCTTTGAAGAGGCGGACCAGCCGCGTAATGGCGATTAATTTGCTTAAAGAATCCGGTGCACCGAGCGTCCTGGAGGGAGCTTTTGACTCTTGCTTTTTCAACGGATGAAACGGCCTCTTCCTCCGAGCTTTTGTGTATTATTCTTTTTTTTTTTTTTTTCACTATTTCGTTCAAGTTCAGTGGATGACGAGGGAAACGCGCAAATCGCGTGAACTACGAATGCATAATTCATACGTACGTCGAATATCTGCATCACCGGAGAGCACCATGCACTGGCCTTTTTTGCGCTAATGATAATCGTTCGGTGCGCGCGAAGCTCGATACACCCGCTGTTATTTTCCCTCTCGCGTGTACCTTTTAATCTTCCAATTGTGAATCCTCCATATTTACATATATCATCGCACGAACAGAATTTACCATTCAAAGAGGTAGTTTTTTTTTCGGAAAATCTAATCAACTCGTATTGAACTCCGTGCTTTGATGATTTTATTTTATCAAATATATACGATACCTTTGAAACGTTTCTACCCCCATATTTCACTTTGATTATGATTCTTGCGTATTAATAATATTATAATTGATCGATTTTATTCCTTCAATCCGTTTGGAGTGCGATGTAGAGGTACGAATTACAGGTATGTTTGCCAAAGTACCGACGCGATTTTGCGAGATGCGAACGTTCGTGATTAATCGATGTATTTTGGACTCGAGATAAACTTGTTTGGTAATAATATTGCAAATTAATTTAATTATACGAGTACAAAGTGACATTTTAATGCTTAGAAACTAATTTGATAATGAAAATGCAAAACCAAGTTTTAATGGTTTGATTGAGATTAATATAGATTCCTTTGTAACTAACGATTTCTCGCGGTTTTAAAAATAAATTGTAAAGCACGTACAGAAAGTTTCAAACGCCAAAAATATATTGCTTTTCAATGTACATATGGGTTTAGTTTGATTTCGCGTTATCAGTATTTTTCGGGTCCATCTTGACGTGCGGGCAGCACACGTGCGTCATTAAAATGAAATATCGCGCGACTCCCTTGAAAACAAATTTTTGATCAATGATAAATAACGATTCAAAATTGACTCTTGGTCAAGATAACATTATCATTCCACCAATAAATTTCGCTTGATTGAAAATCGACGATAAATCAGAATAAAAATTCTCGAAATTCGCGTACACGTTGTACTCGCAAGAGTAACAGTTGTATTTGTATGAGATAAAAAAAAAAAAAAACTCAACTCTCGGATTATAAAACAATTTTTATCTCCGCGAGCCCCTTGGCTGTAAAATACGCCTCTACATCGCTGGCTCAACTCTATTGTACGCCCACACTCGCATACACCCCCACACGTACCGTTGCGACCCTCCTCCATGTAAAGACTGGTGCACTGGGATCGCCGCCTGTTCGTGCCGTATCTCATCCTCGGCTCGACCCTCTGGGCTGAAATGTAGGTTGGCATGGTGAAGTCGTCGAGGCTCTCTCGCGCCGGTGATGGGCTTGGCCGCCGACGACAGATCATCAGTCCAATCGCCACTCCGAGTCCCACCAACATTAACGATACGACGGCTGCAAACACACGTGGTACACAACGATTAGTTTTTTTATTATATACAGTTGAAAAATGTTTGAAAGTGCGTGTTTCTCGTTTGAACCGTCACTTGATTTACTCGACCATTGCTGAGTGTGCATTAATTTTTTAGATTCACGGGCACGGGGCGATAACCGAACGAAACAACTTGGGCGCGCACACACAGTCTTCGGTGCAAGTTTGATCGAACTAGGGCGGGGGGCGCTCCGGGATGATTAATCGACCAGCGGCCGCAAACGAGCTACGATTGATGATGAAGCGGGAGCTGCGGCTCGTAAGTAACACCGCGACTACCGAATCGCCGATTATCGCTCGTGCACGTGATCAAAGTTTCTCGCGTCTGTTAATTAGTTTCTTTGCTTTATTACTTGTACGCGCTGGAGGTGGAGGCAAAGAAAAAGAAAGCTCTCAACTTTGCAGTTTGCTCAAGCATCAGGATACGCCCAAAGGGAAGCACTTTGAATTGATCAAATGTGTATGCGACAGCAGCTCGGCTCGTAAATCTTTTCCACGCGTTGGGCACCACTCCGCGTAACGATTTCAATTACCGAAAAGAGCGTCGACGGCCAAAGATGGCTCGATCGCCCGCCAAAAGAGCACACGCCGCTGAAAAGAGCTTTCGATCGGCGCGTCGGGACGCCTTCAAAAGCTCGTTCGTACTTTTTCCCTCCCGCGTGTACGTCGTGCAGCCTCCCCGGCAATTAATCAATTCCATCCGGTGTCCCGCGCTTCTCCATACGCGCGTCCAATTATCATCGGCGCGACGCCGATACCGAGACGTTCCAATTACCGATACCCCCCCTCGGAGCGCGGCATTGTTTTCCATTCGCGTGACTGATGAGACTACCTGCGATTGGACCGCTCGCCGATTGATTGACGCGCGTAGTTTACGCTTCTTCCGCGTTGGTGGACTTTACGTTGGCACTTCTCTCTTCCGATTAGATCGAATTTTCGGGATTTATACCTGTTGGCTGGTCCACCGAAAAAGGAGGGAGGACCACCACTCGCAACGATAATCGCCACCCATCGAGGGGACTTTTGATCGATAGGCTTTTGTTCTTTCTACTTTTGTTTTGTTTTAGGAATTACAACAACGCTACGTCGTTGGAGCTGTGTTTTCGCGAGGCGCGCACAGAGTCCTCGTTATCGGAGTGCAGAACGGTGAGGGGGGAAGAGCAACACACGGTCGTTTGCGATGTAACGAGTGGGTCGTTGGGGACGAGGGAAAGGAAGAAAGGGCGATCGGCTTTCCCTCTATTTTGACGAGACCGTCTGCGTGTGTGTGTGTGCAAGGAGGACGAGGAAATTGCCAGATTCCGGGGAAGCAGAGAAATGGAGGGAAAAAAGGGGCCTTGGAGTGAAAAACGATTCGAGACGGCTGGACTAGGGTTACGGCGAGAGTAAAAAATCAAGAGCTCGAGGGTCATTCGGTGAGTTGGTACTTTGCGCGACGCAGCCGGGGATCTTTTGATCTCGTGTAATGGGACGCCGGATAGGATTATGCATCTCCCTTAAGGCGCGTTTTATCAATGCAGATGAGTCGTTTAAGGCGCAAAATTAAAAATGTCGTCAGCGTTACAACCTGAAACAGAAAAGCTCGAGGAAAGAAAAAAAGCTAGGGGAACCTTGAAGGGGATATTGAAAAATTTTATTAAAGACAACCGAGTGGCACGAGACGTCGCTATATCAACTTACGGGCTGTGTTATGAGATCTGTTATTGTTATTATATTCGTATGAGAGGAGTGATGCATTAATTGGATCGGCGATTGAGAAGAAAAGTTCCAAAATCACTCTGATCATTTTTGCACGGGGAAACTGAAACTACTGCTAAATACCGTCTCGTGTGATCGAGAAATAGCAGCAGTTGATGCAGATAAACAAAGCAAGCAAAATACAATTCCGGTCGAAAGTGGGAAAAGAATCACAATATAGACAAAAGCAAGAAAGAGAAACAGCACAGAGGTGTTGTGTGTATGCAGGAGGAAGGGGCGTGGGTGGATCGACTCGGCGTTTTGGCGCTCAGATTCGTCGTTTGCAAAAGCGTAACTCTTCTCCCTCTGACGTATAGCTTCGTCTTCACACGTTCACTTTCTCCAACGCCATTTCTCCCGTAGTTTTCTTCCTCCCCTTCGCGAGAGCCAGGGGGTTCATTCGAGTCGAGTGAAGCGTGATTTGGGCAAGATGGAATTCTATCGGAGCGCGAATATTCGTCATCGCTTCGAGCACAGAGGGACACTTGCAGATTTCTTCCTTTGCTTGGGCGTACATATTACTACAGGCACTGTAGCTTTTTTTTTTTACGCTGCAAGCCATATGACGCAACGGGAGAAAGGATATTTGACTCTCTCCACGTGCTCTCGATGTCTCCATCCCGTCTCTTCCTTTCTTCCGAGGTAATCTCGCTTGCGCTCTCTGTTTCGCTCCGGCGCGAGGTTGAACCGGTTTCCCGGAAGGGCTCCGAGGTAGGGGGTGGAAAAAATTTTGTTAGCATGCATTATTCCGAGCAGTGCTCGCGCAACGATCCCTTTGTCAGACACTTTACTCCCGCTTCGTCACCCGTTTTTCCTCTCTTTTCCGCGTGTTTGGTAACTCGACTCAATTTATTTTTCGCGTGTACGGTCGCGTGAATCAATAATACCGTGTCCTATCAAGGTGTCTTTGAATGAAAATTGCATTTGTCAGAGCAAAGGAACAAAAGTGTGATTCCTTTGTGATACGAGAGAAAATAAAATGTCGATCCTTTGGTCGGTCGCATACACAGAGAGACCGTAGAAAATCTCGATTATCGCGTTTGGAATAGCAAAGACTATTGGACAGTAGGAATATGGCGAGGAGGAAAGAAATATGCGAGCAATGAGTTTGAAAAATTGATCCAATCAGTCGACAATGGGGAAGGGAACGACGGAGGTTCATCCAAACTTTTTATTCGGGGAGAAAAAAAAAGAAACTTTGCGCATTGCCGCGGGGGGCCCTCTGCTATGTAGTGATCGGTTGCATTGAATTTTTAATTGTACCTCTCGCAGACTGTCGATCGCTCGTGGCTGATGTAAAAAAAAAAGAAAAAAAAAAGAAAAAGAAAAAAAAGGAAGTGGTGGGGGAGGGAAACAGAGCGCCATTACTGCACGCAAGAGAGCTTTCGTAGCGAAATGTTTTAAAAGAGAGCGGGAGAAAAAAAAGGGTGATAAGAAAAAGGGAGAGAGAGAGTGCGCGCATGTGGCCCAGATACTCCCGGTTCCCCGTGGAAAAGGTCCGAAGTGATTCCGTTCGAATTTATCGAGAAAAATCAAGTGGTATGGAAGGCGAGAAAATTTTCGATTTCCCGGGCTACGAAGACGACAACGATTCGCCGAGCTTCGCTGCGCTACAGCTGTGTAGTCATATACTGGAAGCACACGGTCGTCACTGCGTCGATTGATGGAAAAATTTGGAAAAATCACGGTATACATGTATGTATGGATGCATCTCGCTTTCTGCCTCTTTTTTTCTACAAATATACCGTTTGGGTGTGTCGAAGGACTTTTTTATTTATCTCTCCGTGTAATAGGTACTGCACTAGGATTATCGTTTTTGTTGGGGATAAGGTACTCCATAAAATATCACCGAGGAAATTTTTAAGACCGGAAAGTGAAAGGTTCGTAAAGTTATGGCTACGCAAAATGATGGAAGGTTTTCTGGCAAATTTTGCCACTAAAGTATGGATGCTTGGTACTTGAAGGCGGGGCTCAATGATTATCTTTCTAGGACTAAAAACTACCTTTCCTCTAAATTATTAGTTTTTTTTGCTGATTCATAATTTCTCTTGATTATTTTTGTTGAAAAACGTTCCTCACTCAGCAAGCTTCCCCTTCTTCCACGGATTTTTCGAGTGTTTACATTCAATGAGGCGAGATTTTTTTTCGTTAACTCGATCGAAACGGCCAGTTAAAATCTTCAGGCAAAAAAGTTTTCCAACAGAGCGGCCCTTTCATTAGAGCGAGCAAAAAACAAAGTTTTTCACGGCGGATGAGAAAAAACTCTTTAAGCCTCACGGGGCGGAGCTTTATTACACCCCAACTTTTTTTTTTCCAAACAGGAACTCTCTGACGATCGGCTCGTTTTTCTTCAGCCGCTAAATCGCGGACTTAGCTTCATAAACGTGTATTTATATTTGTTAGACAGCAAAAAAAGAAGAACTTTCCATGTGCATACTAACCAATCAGCCCCGCGACGATAAAGGCACTTTCGAGGTTGGCACTGGTCGGCAGTGCCGCGGACAGGTTGTCGAGGAAGCGAGAGTCGGGCGGTCTCTTTTTCATCGGCTCGGCCACCCTGATGTTCTCGATGAGCACGGGCTGGCTCCGGCCCTGGCTGTTCTCCGCAAAAACCGCGACCGTGTAGTCGTAGCCGGGTAACAGGCCGAACAGCTGAAAACTCGGCAGGTCGTTGCGGTCCTGGTAAACTGCGGCGGCGGGCGTGGCCTCGCCCACCCCTTGATCGCTCTGGGGTATCTGGTTCAGTAGACTCGAGTTTTCCAAGGTGCCCCTCACCTCCAACAGGAAGTGCTGGGGTAGTCCGCCGCTCGCTCCGGGCTGGCATTTCACCTCCATTGCCCTCGTGTCGTTCCGGATGCTGCAGTCCAGGGGCTTCTGCGGTGGGCCTGGAAAATAAAAAAAAAATTCTTTTTTTCCTCTCGACCGACAATTTTAATTGGATTTTGTGGCATTGCTTGACTCTGAAGTGACGATAGTTATAAAACAAATTGTTTTTCCAACTAGCAGTGTCTTGGGTAACTTTTCACGGGGAAGAATATTTATACATCATCGAGCAGGTGGGGTACTCTGATAACCATACCCGGAGAGATAATAAATTTCCATGAATGATTATAGGCGTAAAATTTGCTGTGGGAGAGGGAGCGATTTTTAACTCGTTAATTCAGATTAAAATCGTTTCCTTCCTTCCTGGCTGGCTGGGCCCGTTTAAATCACGATTCAGCACGAAAATTTCTCCATTGTCGCGTCCCCCCAACGATTTTCTCTCGTTCGCTGTAATGCTAATTCTACCCACCATTCGGATACGGGGGGTGAGAAATTTCGCTACATTTCTTTATTCGTCCCTCCTATCGTCCCCCTTTTCGATTCTAGGTACATTTTCGTTTAATCACCATTATTTCGTGGCGTTTAACCTTTTGATAGATTCGACCGACGGATTACCTCGCTGTAAAATTTTCCTTTCCTTCTCTTTTTTTTTTTTTTATTTCGTCACTTGTCATTGTTGTCATTTTATACCTACATTTCGAGGAATAAAAATTTCAGATTACTTTGCACAAAATCATCCCTTCGGACGGAAAGTTTTGTTCTTAAACCACAAAAAAAAAAAAAAAAAAAAAGGACGTAGCGAGTGTACGCACAAGATATCGAAAGCTACTCGGTAGAGACGTAAAGCTGCGTCGTATCTGTGGGGCGTCAGCTTGGATTTCTTTCAGTTTTATGTTTGGGGAGTATACATACATTTACGTGCACAATACATACTGCACGCGTGCAAGTACTTTATACATCTCGGGGAAGAAAAGAAGCGTAGGTATGTATAGGTATCCGTGATTCTGTATTACCGGACTTAATGGCGTGTAATACTCGGCAGGCATATAATTCGTGACGGGAAGATTTACTAGTGAAGTTTGCCCGGCTGGGTCGGACTCTCGAGTCTGCTGGAAAAGTCGTGGCTGCGAGGGTCTCGAAGCCGTAATGTCCGTACAATATAACGACGACCCGCTCGCGTCTAATATGAATGAGTGCTGTATCGCGAGGAATATTAGGTAGGAGTTTTTATCTTTTTTCTTTTTTCCACCCCAAACCACCCTAGGAAACTTAATAATTGCCAGTTTGCTGGATAAGCATTTTTCATCTTTTCTGCTTTACGAACCAGGAGAGTTTTGTGTTTTATCATGGCATTCAAATAAACGATTATACTTGGGAAAAAATTTTACTATAACCCGTGATTGCAAAAGAGAGTTTTACGGTACTAGCACGATTGGAGGCGCAATAAGTGTACTCCGATATAAAGCTCTTACGTAACGTCGCGCACGTTTCCACTGAAATATCAAATACATTGGCAAAAGCATCTAATGAAATTCTTAAATCCTTGCACTGGCAATCACGCGCTTCCATTTCGAGATGCAATCGTGGAGCAGCTCTCTTTCTTTCTCCCTTCTCGATCCTTTAAAATGCTAATTGTCAAAAGCGTACAACTTTGAAATGAGTTCTTGTGACAGGAGTTTTTGAAATCCTTGCTCGTTTGCAATGTGTACGCATGTACATAATTTTTAAGCTCGAAGATGCAAGGCAAGTCACACGAGTAATGCCCAGTTGACCAAATTTTTCGAGGAGATAGAGAACCAGCGAATCTTACACCATCACGTAGTGGATCAGGATACTCGCCCCGATTGTTTGAACCAGCAAGGACCCTCTCTTAGATGCGAGCGCTCCGTCATGTCTTGGTGGCAACAAGAGCAAGTGTATCTGAATTACGAGACGAACTTGACTAGTTGGGCCGTGTACTGCATGACGACCACAGAGAAGTCGTTAGCTGCGAGTAGTGTGTAACGTCAACAACAAAAGTTTAACGAGGCAAGGGGGTGAGGTGCCCGTGGGCAAAGAGCTGGTTTTAAATTATCCACGGTTCCATTAGAGGATAATCACATTAGGGCTGTTTGCCTCAAAGTGACACAACGGATGCTGCGCGCGCGACACTTGTATTGCTAAGAGTCGACGGTGCATCTGCATTGCGAGGGATGCGAGACTTCCGAGCTGATAACAACATTATTTTTTAGACATGTCAAACAGTGTTACTGTTATGAAACAAATAGTATCCTATGTAAGGTTCCTGCTATGGTTGAGAGAAAATCAAATAAACGTTAAAGATCGTTTGAAACCATAAGTTTGGTGACAAAGTTAGTTGACAACGCGAATGGAAATTATAAAAACTCTTCGAGCCATTACCGTGCGTGTCTTCATCGATCCACTTTGAGCTGCCAATGCATACATATTATAGATACATAGGGGAATCCATTAAGATAACTACAAAAAGTCACCCCCAAAACGACCGCAAAGGAATTGTATGTAAAAGAAAAATTAAACCAGCCAACCAGCCGAGGGGTTGTTCAACTTACTTGCGGGTAGGATATTGAACACGCAGGGCCTCTTCTGTCTGCCGACGTTGTTGCTCGCCCAGCAAGCCAGGGTCGAGTAGTCCTCGTCGGTCCTGGGCACGTACTCGAGGGTCGCGCTGAGCGGCCGGGGATGCGCCACCGCGAACACGTCCCCGAGACTGCTGTTGCGCGTCCATGAGAACCGCACACCGTCCCGCGGGTCTGCCTCGATCTCGCAGCGTAGCCTTAACGCTGTGCCCCGCGCCGCAACCACCTCCTGCCACTCGTGCCCCGGCTTGCACCTCGGAGTGACTGACGGAGCAAATTAATATATATATATATGAACGTCAACGGTTACGAGGGTTGTTGGCCGGTGTACTTACATTTCATGCGGATGTCGAGCGGTGGACTCTGGACTTCGCCGACGGCGTTTCTGACGACGCACGCGTAAGCCCCGGTGTGGCCGAGGCCCAGGACACGCAGAGTCAGGCTGCTCGAGGCGACCAGTACTCCGGCCTCGACGTTGTGCTGGAGCGGCTCGTTCTGCGAAGAATCAATATGCCACGCTGAAATAAGATGCGTGACTTCTAGGTGGGTGTGGGGGTGGATCGAAGGGAACTGGTGCGAGGGTGCACTTGGGAAACAAGGTCGGCCACGCCGGAGGGAAGGGGATGACTGTGGGAACGCTTTGGAAGTGTTATGGTCGGGCTGTTTGTATTTATTTTCGGCCGAAAAAAAAACCCAGACTCGTGCCTTGGGGCGGAGAACTCATTTAAAGTTTCGCGCCAGCCGCGAAATGTGCTACTCGCGATCCTACGCGTTATAAACCCTCCTTCTCTCGGAAGGTTAATTAGCTTCGTTCTTTTGTGCGCTCGGACTTTTGTGTGCAATGTTATTTTTGAACGTACTACTTTTTTAAGATACCTGCACAGCTTTTTCTTGAAAAGGTATCAATTTTAATGAAATAATTACGCGTACGTAGCAAAGAAAGTTGCATCGCAAAATGTTTGGAAAATTATGATTTTGCGTATTAAAGTTTACGTAAAGTATTTCTCAACCTATCGTTATGAAACACGTAGCAATCATTATTCCTACCTTTGCGAGCTCTCGTATTTTCTCGCGAGAAAGTTTGATACTCAGCACAGATAGAAGGAGGGGGGAAAAAACTGGGCAATAAAAATTTTCCGATGTGCACTTTAAGCTGTATACCCTCCACGGCTGGAACACTAATTAATACGGATTACGTACTCGATACTCGTTACCGTCTCTCCATCAAAGACGCGAGCAGTAATTTTATTTGGAGATCCACCGATGCGCATCTACAACGGATCGATCAGAACACTTATAACTCTCCCGGCGAGTTGTCGCAACAAAGTCGGGAAAAAGAAAAAGTCGAGGGGACAAGTTAATTTTTTACCCCGTGGGGCTGTGTACAGTGGCTGAATTAAACAGAAAAAGAAAAAAAAAAAAGAGGGAGGGCGAAGAAACGCGACCCACTTGGCTCTCATTATCGTCGAGTGAAAAGGTCTCCCTCGCGCGTACAATGGACCTTTTTTTCCCTCTTGGAGCAATCGACGCGATTTCCCCGCTTTGTACTCCAACTCAAACAGTTACTCGAGACCCTCTGAAGAATTCTTGATACTGCATACCTACTTTTCCGCTGTTAGATGTTTCGTGAAAAACCCCGGTATTTTATTTGCGTTTTTACCCCGTATACCTTGATAATTTGAAATACTTTTTCATACGGATGCTCCCCCTCCCCGTGCTCGGAACTGCTGAAAACGCTTGGAAAGAAGAAGAAGATCAATCGCGAGGAAAAAAAGTCGACAGAGCAAGCGTAGCGTATAGGCACGAAAGTGATTCGAAGCTCTTTCGCTCGAAATGTATAATATGAGGAGTAGTACGTGCGTTCCGATGTGTGCCATACATTCCTCACTTTCCGCGTGTACAGCATTCCCCGTATCTTGGGCATGACGTACAGGGCGCACAAGTTTTATTGTAGGCCACACTCGAGTGATAAATTTTTCTGCCATTAAATATACGAATTCCAAATGCGGATTCGTCCGAGGAAATTGTGCATTCAGCCGGCGTTTGAGCCCAGGTATGCATCGGTAAAATATTCCATTTCAAGCGAAAGGCATGTCCGCTCGAGTTACGAGTAATCATAGCTCCGTATATGGGAGTGTCCCTCTTTGCGTATCCCCGACAAGCAACGCGACCATTACCCAAAAGGATCATCCATCTCTGGTTAATTGTACCGTAAGGTTTGCCGTGACTGCTAGTTTTTAATTATATCATTTTTTGTTTGTTTTTTTGTTTTTTTGTTTCCAGAGCTCGCCGTCATTAGTTATCATCAAGCGGGTCATAAATCTTCCGAAACGTCGATCCAAATGAGCATCAAGTTTGCACGTGGAGCTCGAGTTGCTCGAGCAGAGAGGAGAAAAATAAGCGCCCGGATGTTATCTTAATTTGCCAAATTAATTGTAATAATTTTTTTCTCCCTCTCTCGTTATTTTCTGCTTCTCCCCCCCATCCTCCGAGAGGATAACTTTCTCGGAAGTTGGGGCGAATAAAGAAGCGAGAGAAATGAATCCGAAAGCGAGGCAAAAAAAGTAGTTATAAAAGAATCGATAAACCAGATCGGGTTGCCCATTAGCGCGAATGTACGAGTTTTCCCGCTAATGAAGGAAACCGGTTCGTTAAAAAAATACGAAAGATACCGCCTCCTCTCTCTGCTCGTGCTCTCTCGCCAAAGTTTGCCGTGCGATGCTGATGGGTGCATGTATATATAATAGTGCGTAGCGCGCGCTCCCGAGCTTCCGGCCCCATCAGCTCGGCCGAAACCACCCGCTGTGTCTTCGTGCCGTCGCTCACGGGCTGTCCCGCCACCGAACCGCTCTGGCTCTTTTTCTAACTCTTGCCGCGACGCCGCGAGCNATATATGTCTACGTGCGCGAAGCGAAAGATCGATCGGTATGGTAACTCTTGGGAAGAGTCCCGGCGCGTCTTTGTAGCCTCGAATAATAAATATGCATGATCCCCACCCTCCCGGTATCAAGGGGAAGTTGAGGCTTTTCGTCGCTTTTGTCCGACTATCTTTCCGCCCGTGGAAATCCGGGCGATTTAATTTGAAAAGAAGTCCTTCCATTGGCTCTGATTACTTTTGTCAAGAGTTGGGGTTTTTCCAACCCGCGGTGAGACCTACTTTTTATTCAGCTTCGTGAGACAGGTAATTCAGCTTCGGCAGTCGCGATTATCATAAGCACACACACTCGTATACGTATACTCTGCCACAAAGGATTATGAATGAGAGCATACAGACTTTTCGTGAGTGATATGCTCGTTTGAATCGTATCAGTAAATTTGTTAATGACCATTTGTTGATCGACAAGTTGGGTGTGGGATACAATGGCCCTTGAAGTAAGTACGAAAGTATATGTAAGATGTGCGGTACTATAAAAATGTAAAAATAGCTTACGATACAGGTTTTTCGTCATTATTTTAAAATCAAAGATGTAAATGTCGTAAAAAATATTTACAACCGTTCATTTTTCTTTGGATCATGTTAAAAATTTCTACCAAAGTAAAATCATCCAATACGCTTAATTATCGGTGTAACTATTGTAATTTTCTGTTCAGCAATTGAATGTCCGATTCGACATTTGAAATTCAACATTATACAAACAACGATGTACTTAATGCCCATTTAACGAATCTATTGTGTTACATTTAATGCGATACAATTCACGTAATGATGGATCTACCTGAAATCAATGTTGGCCAAACAATATACTGCAGCCCCCCTCAATTATACGTGATCAAACAGAATCATTTTTAGTTAGTTTCGTTCGATTCGCGAGAAAATATTGTAGTCGTAACGTTGCAACAGAGTTCGCGTCGCGGAAGCGGATACATCCCCGATTAAAGTTACTCCTCCCTCGCGTAAAGTCGCTTCCAGGAAATAAAAGAAAAAAAGAAAAGAAAAAAACCGTACGTCGCACCAGGCATCTCCAAAACGATGAATCTTCCGTTCCTCCTCCACATCCGTTCTCTCCTCTCTCTGGCTGCCTTTGCTCACAGGTACCCCGGGCAGTCCATTTTTGCCGACTATATTTCTTTTTTTCCTCCCACTATCCGCTTCCTATTTACGTCCCCTCGTCCCTCTCCTCCACACCACGCATATTTGCCTAAGTACATCTTCGTGGTGTTGTTATCTCTCACCCCCACCCCCTTCCTCCTCCATCCCTCTTGCACTCCGGTGCTCACGTAGTAGCTGTTGTTTTTTTTCCTCCTCTCTGCTCCCGTTGATGCATATCAATGCTTTTTTTCTCCGCCCTTCCTCTATACCAAACACGGAAAAACGCGTCGAACCTCCTTTACGGGCCCTCGCAAAATTTCAGAGGTACATTTTTTTCTTCGCTCTTAAATTTTACTCTCTTTCATCTTCGGCCCTTCTCCTCCCCGGTTGTTTGCCGTTTTTTGACCGGCTATCGAGTCAAACGCCAAGCAGTTTTTCGGTGCTCTGAAGCGATTGATTGCACATTACGTTTCATACATACATATATAGGAGCTTTCCTTCTTTTTTTTTTGCGTCCAAAGACCCTGTGCACTCTATCCGATCACGTGATCCGTCAAAGCAGAGTTCAACTATCTAGTTCGTTCGCTCGCCGTGCTTTTATACGTATGAAACTACTTTTTCTTGCGTTTCAACAATAGTCCACGATGTTTCGTTGCTTACGATGCAAATGCAATATACGCGGTGTTGAAAAGCTCGCAGTAAATAGGACATTGAATTTCGTTGAGAATACCATCGTTAATCCGAGCAAATGATGAGGTAGTGGCTGCTCTCAATACCGATGCGAAATCGGTGGATGATGGCTAATGGCGAAAAAGTAAATGAAAATGCATCGTCAGATCGAGGAGTTGGGAGGTTGTAAAAAAAAAAAAAAAAAAAAAAAAGGATAATGGTTTTCATTCAATCATGCGATCCTCCCACGCTCGATCAATGGGCTTACACGTACAATATGCTCGCTCGCGGGGGAAAAGCTTTTCGAGCGAGCTGTGTTTATTAAAGCTCGAAGAACGACCCATTTATCATGCAGACGTCGGAGGCGCTCGTGTTGCATTTGGACACTGCGACGCTGTCTTTTGTGAAGCCACGAGTAACAGAGGTACGCGCATTAAGGATCGCGAATACGCAAGCTCTTGTTATTTTTCCACGGAGGTTCGGAGAGGCGAAACATTTTTTAATCCCTCAGCTCTGCCTTTTCCCCCTTGGCATCGTGAGTATACACATCCGTCGAAACGGAGAGAACCTTCGGAATCACCCTCGGCCGCGTCGTACCGGAAGCACCGAGGACGATAAATCACAAAAATTGAGCGTGATTATTCCGAGCTTTTCTCGGCGAAACTCACGCCCCGTCGCCTTTCAAATTCGTCGCGATTCATCAGCGTCGCGCTGATGGAAGAAAGGAGGAAAGGAAAAAAGAATAACAATGGGTACTCACGTTGTGCAGCCACTCGATGCTCGTTGGCTCGGGATTGCTCCGGTAATCGCAGACGAACTTGACGTCGTCGCCCTCTCTGAGGGTGTCCAGGTCGAAGCCACCGGCTAGCTTAACACTGGCGCTGGGCGGATCTGCCAAGCAAAGTCAAAGAACAGTCATTTCCGCGCTGTTCCCCTCACTTATTTACAATCGCGCTCCGTTGTCGTCGGCAACCGAGAACACCCGGGAAAGGAAGAAAACTTTCTTATTTATCTGTATATTTGCCGCGCCGGCCCATCTCCTCCTGGCACCGGCTGGAAAAATAAGTCGCCCTCGGGGCGTTTGCTTCGCGTTCTACCTTATACTGGCGCACCTCCCCCTGTATCCGGTAAACAGAGAGCTTGCAAGCTCGGGGGCTTCCAAAACGGAAGCAAACACACGCCGGGGAAATAAATAATCGACCGCGTTATCAAGTCGAGACAGTAGTCGTTGCAGCGTAGGAAATGAGGATGCTTCGAGAGTTTTGTGCAAGCTCGTAGTCCGTACGAGTTTTGAAGAGGCAGAGAGAGAGAGAGTGAGTTTGAGGATAATCGCAAACGATGGCGGTGAGCTTGCGAGGAAGGAAGTGGCCGGCTATCGGAATGCAAACAGCGGGCCCATCCGCAAGTTCAATCAGTTGGGGATCTTCGGGCTGGCTGCTCCCGCCGCAGTTCACAAGCTACACCTTGTTCTTCGGACCGAGTTGCAGCCCCATCCTCCCCCGTGCACACTTGCCTCGAGTGTCTTCTCTCTGCCTCTTCGGCACTTACATGCAAGCGCGACGAAAGTTTTCAGCCAGCAAGTTTCAATGGTCCTGTGTACACATATACATGCGCACTCCGTGCCGTTGCCCCGTCCTGTTTTCCACCCGCGTATGTGTATATATATACAGCGTGCAAGTGTACACGATGGGGTGATTTTGCTCGCTTGCTTGGCTGCGAGGCGAGTTTGCCGATGGGGTGCTTTCGAGAGCTCGACTTTTCGAGGACTTGAATCATCCCTAATTACTCGAAGGAATCGGAGTTGCCGCTGCTCCGATTACTATCCAAGGTGTGTTATACCGTGGCTCTATTTCTCTCTCTCTCTCTCTCCCCAAGATCGTGACCTGTTTTTTTTTTTTTTTTTTTTTTTTTTTTTTTTTGACTACAGGATGATATTTAATTTTTGCACCGTTACAGGGATTTTAGAGCTTTTCTGGACTCGAGCATTGTTTGGTGCTCCGATTGCTCGAGAGATTTGACGAAAATTTAAGTTCATTGTGTGGATTTTTCCATGTAAGAGTTTGAAAAAAAATTAGATTTTTCACCAGCTCTATCGAGTCGTATGATTCTATATTAAAAGTTAACCATTTGATGAACGATTGGCTGGTATTTTGCTCAATCATATGATACTCACACAGAACCCGGAGTACGATGCTCTTCTCGAGGACTCCCCCGGGGAACCTTGGATTCTCCGCGCGGCAGGTGAGCTCCTTGCCGTCGTCGTCCCTGTCGAGCACGAGGGCCAGCCTGCTGAGGGTCGAGTTGCTGCGCAAGCTCGTGGTCAAGCTCGACTCGCTGCTGATGACGAGGCTGCCGAGGCGCCAGACTATCCGCGCTGGGGGTGAGCTGCCCCAGGCCTTGCAGCGCGCGGTCATCGGCCGGCCCGCGTGGATCTGATCCTCGGCCAAGTTGATGTTCACCACTGCTGGCTTCACTGCGGACCAAAACGTTACTTACAAAGTGGAGCTTGCGCTTGCCGCTCTTTGAGCTCCCCACGGCACGTGGCGTTTGCTCCGCGTATGCGTCTTTCGGCGCTTACGTGCCGTGTGTCTGTCTTCTTGCCTATTTCGTGGTGCTTGCACCGCTCGTGGGCACGCGTGCTTTGGGTTATGGACTTTTTTTTTCAACGATGTGTTGATATACCAAACTACGCGACGTTTCAGTTCTAGGGAACGAAAGCACTTTCGGATGGCTTTTACACAGAGAGCATACACGTATACCGAGTATTACTGATGGCAAAATTACATACGAATCCGAGTCTTTGTAAAACTTGCGACTTTTATGCAAGGGGTGCACGACGTGCTGATAAATCTTCCCAACGTTCCATTCCCCCCAGATATCAGTGGGGATGAGATTCAAACTTTTATCCTGAACTTGCAATTTTTTTTTATTTTTGTCGTGTAACTTTTTTGATGAAATTTTTACTGCAATGAAAAATAAAATTATCTGCAATACCTGTCGTTCCATTAAAATTAATGGAGTAGCCGAGCTTTGGATAATTAAATTCTCTAATGTCGTTTAACGAAATTTATTATTTTTCAAAATTATTCAAAGAAAAAAGTGAGCAAATACATCAGAGGCACTGCAGTGCGGTTCAATAAAATAGAATCAAACGTCGAAAAGCATAAAAAAAGTCCCATTGCGCGATACATGGCAAAAAGTCGTCACCGGGTCAAATTAAATTTCGGGCAGTGCAGCTCATGAATCCAGAGGCCCGGAGATTTTTGACGAAGTAAATCATCATTGTGCGCGTCCGTCACTCCGAAAAAATAACAAGCTGCTGCAAGCACAGAGGCGAGCGCGTCACGTGTCCACCATGCACCGGGAGTTTAGTATTTTTGCGCTTCCTCCTCCAAACTTTCTCAGAAAGCTTCAAAAAGGAAAGGGAGGGGGGCCTTTACGAGCGGTGCCCTTTTTCTCTCGAGCTCTCATTTTTTTTGTCGGCGAGGTTTAAAAATTTTTACACACCGCAGCACTAGAATCCACTGTGAGCACGCGCTCGCGGAGGTCACTAGCGTTCTCCCGGCTATATTTAGGCTCTTTCTTCCTTTCTTTCTTTCTTTCGTATGACAGAGCGATACGAGATTTACATGCCTGGCTTTAACGGGTGCTCTGGTGAACTGTGAGCAAGCCAACGAGAGATTGGAAATCTGTTTTTCTTTATCTCGGGCCTCGTGCCATTGTGTACAGATTTTTTTTTTTAGCAAAGTCCTTTTTTACTCTAGCGTTATATATTTTTCATTTTATTTTATTCCGTAAAAATAACGGTATCAAAAACTCGTGAGTTGCATCTGTTTTATTGTTCCATCAAGTAAATGGAGTTTTTTTGATTGACCAATGCTACGTGATTCTTTTAAATCTTACCAAAAAATAAAAAAGTAAAAAAATAAAAAATAAAACAAAAAAAAAAAATTTTACACTTTTCGTTCACGTAAATGAGCACAATGGATTTCATACGAGTTGTCAGTATTCATCCGAAGAGAGAGAGACATTTTTACGGGTATTTTGATGAATTTCCATCGGAAAATGGCTTCGTTGTTCCAATAAATTCATGTATACAAACGAAATGCAATTAATCTACGCACATAGCTTATTGGATTTCTCGGTAACGCAAAATTAAAACTTTATAGCCTCGCGACTCTTTTTTATTCCATGCAACGGTACGAGCCCAAAGAAAATACTTTTGAAAAACTTTTCCCGCGAAAAGGAGATATTGAGAAAAGCCCATCGTCAAATATTTAGTTTGCCGAAAAAAAGGCTCAATCACTAGTACCCAAAAGCTAAAAGTTACGTGACCCGCGTTCCGACCGAAAACGTATATACGTGTAACCCACGGGAGCCGAGCAGAGACGCCAACTCAAACAACAAATTATTAAAAAAAAAAAAAAAAAAAAAGACTCACGATATATATCCAGCGGCACCTTCTTCACCGTGGACACCGACTTGCCCTGGGCCGTCGACTCGGCCCTGCACTCCAGCCTCGCCCCCTGCAGCGACCTCGTCACTTTCGGCACAAACAGCCGGTTCTCCGTGAACTTGCTCGCCGAGCCGATCACCGTTGGCGTGTCCACAACGCCGTTCATCATGGCGTCGTCCTGCCACCAGGTCACCACTGGCCTCGGCTTTCCTATTGTCGGACAGAGAAATACCATTACCAGAGGGAACGGGATTGAATCCGACGAGCCGGACAATTTCCCAGAAGACCCGACTCGGTTTTTCCTCCTCTCGCTCCGAAAAACCATGCAAGTGGAAACGAACGAGAATGAAAAAAAAAAAAAAAACGCGAAGGGGTTCTTTGATGAAAAAAAAAAGGAATTACTTTGCGTATGATTTAATCTCGCCTCCCTGCGAGCATTGCCCGACGTGTACCGTCTGTTTCCCATCAGTTATTTCCATCACTCGGGAGGGAGGACGAACGTATATTATACAGGAAAGAAACCGAGCCGAGCATGGGGGGAGGCTTCAAGGTGGATGGCGATAAAACGAACGAGCCTACGGTCACTTTGAAAGCCAACATCCAGCCACCACCCTGTATCGTCCACTTGGAAGTAATTCCCATGCTAATCCATCTTTGTGAGCCGCGCGGACACGTAAAACGTCATCCTTGTCCTCGTCGTTGTTACGTGCACAGTCTGAAATCCTCAAGCGTAGGCTGCGGAACGGGGATTAGCTCGCGTGCGCGTGGCATTCTTTGATCGCACAATGGCCCCCCATCTCCTCTGTGCGGGATATATAAGTACTCGGATGCCGCGAGGAGGAGCGCGCAGGAATGTAGGTAACGAGAATGCGGGACAGGAGGAGACGACACACGCGCGCGTGCACTTGTTATTGGGCTAGCTGTGTACAGGAGATGCTCTGGTGGAACGGGGCTGAAGGGTGGAGAGGAAGGAAATTGGCTGGGGGAAAAGAAGTCGGACGGGAGAATGCTCGGCCGGAAGGTGTTTATCTCGGCACAAAGGGTACTTGTTTACCCCCTTTTTTTTCTTTCTTTCGATACATCCACTTTGGTATAACTAAAAAATAATATACGCGGGTACTCCTGGGTTATGAGGGCGTGTAATCATAGAGCGTTTATCAAGTGTTTGTGGAATTATGCTTCCACGTGAAGAACTATTGTATGATGAGGAAGGATGAAATGTCAAGCAAGACCATGCAAGCTATTATACGCCTTAAATCACCTGCTGTGATTGATTATAATAACATTAAAGATCAAGAATACATCACCAGCACTCGCGTATAGCTTTAATGGTCTATCATTGTAATGTGACCCTACCTTGACGTACAGTTTGCTTCGAGACACGTGCTTGTTGTAGCCATGCGTTTACAAATAGGCACCAACGTATCATGAGAATTGTTTGAAAGAGAGAGTAATACGTAACTATGGAATTTATTGTTACGTCTAAATGATAAAATGTATGGAAAAGCCAAGAGTTTCGACGCTGGTTTTTTAACTTGCTATTCCAGAGCTTGCATACCTATATGACTCTCCAACATCTCGCAACAAAGTGCTAAAAAGCTCGTATGTCCGGCACACGTCTTCCCGCTTGCTACACGTGTATCCAACCGAGCATAGTCGTCCAGCTAAACTACTCTGTCTTGTACTCCGCTGGACCCCGCCTTTTTCTCTCTTCAATTCGCAACTAACGAGCAAACGCGCTCTCGGAATTAAAGGGCCGCGTGATCGACTGGGTGTGGGGAACAGGCGAGAGACACGCGAGAAGAGAGAGCCATTTTTCCGTCCGAGGCCGTTGAAAGGACCAGCTAGAAATTTCGGGTGGTTAGCGTATATACAGTCGGCCGACACCGCGTGGCTTAATTATAACGTGTGCACGTTCGCCCGACCGCTCGTTTCGCGAATCACCTGATTGGGTTTTCATTTGGCTCGGGGCACAAAGGCCGATAGTTCGCTCGGGAGAGGGAGGGGGTAGTTCTCCGTCCAGTTAATTGGGAACCGATGATTCGCTCATTACTTTTGTTCGGCCTTTTTTTTACGTGGATTCTAACGAGATGCCAAGTCCTTTATCTTTAAACATAGAGGGGATACTATCTAAGCTGATTAGTAGTAGCCTCGAGTTGGCCAGCAAGACAGGAGCGTTTAAAGGACTATTTATCCTTGTACGGAGGAAAATCGAGCAAAAAATATTATTTAGTATTCAAGCGATTAATCGTCGTAATACATATGCATTCGATTAAAGTGACAGTATATTCAACGACAGTGTTAAGAATGGCTTTGTCAATTATTTACTTAGTATCGGCATCGGTTAACTTTGATGGGTATACATAATCAACTAATGGAGAAGTAGTGTGCTAATGATATGATAATTAATGTAGACGCTTATTGGTACGGTACACGGGCGTTAATTGGAGTGATACAGTGATACTTGTGTAACAATGAGCGTGCGTGCTTAGTCCTTGATGCATGAAATTGCATCACCAATGAGCGTAGCACCTCTATGTAACCAATTTTGTCGTCATAGTTTTTCGATGTTTCACGGTTTGGTAATTGAAAAAAAAAAAAAAAAAAAAAAAACTTGAGAAGATGAAATCATTTGCATTACAAAAATTATATTATGTCTGTCGTAAAAAGATAATAATAATCATAACAATGATTTACGATCATCTGCTTTTAAGCGAGGGTACCAGAGAGTCTGTACTTACCACCGGCCACTCGACACGTCAAGAGTAAGTCGTAACCTTCGAGAAATGGTCCGCCTGTCCCTTGAACTTCTCGACCCTGTGCATCGTAAATTACAGGCTTAGACGGTGGCTCTGAAAAAAAAGGAACATCCGTATATTTTCTTTTCAAGCTGACTACAATAGCGTATTATCAAAGAAATGGGTATTCATAAAAATTTGGAATTTGATTTCTTCCACCTCATGATGAAAAAAAGTATTAGATGTCTACAAAAATGTCCTATAAATTCTTACACTCAAAGTTATGCATTTTTTAGAAGTTATGACTTTTCATTGTAATTTATTATAACTCCTGACGAGAAACACCATACTAAATTAATTTTTTTCCCCATCAAAAGGATCCTATCCAAAACCTCATTCAAGTTTAACCAAAACATCCTATAATCAACCGAAACATGGCAATAATATCGAGCATAATCGAAAAGTGCGATATTCTATGGTGGTATTCAAGAAATCAAATCAAAGTTTAATTAAAATTCGCATACACCAGGATGTACGCTGTTGGTAGCACCAACCGAATTATTGTGTTGACAAAAGACCACCGAGCACGTAGGTAATACGCCAGACGGAAATTTACCCTTTCTACCCCCGTCAAGTCCTCGCATCGGGAGTAGAATTAATTAATTTCCTTCTGGTGTGCAAAACAGAAAACCGAGAGTTGCAAAAGAAATAGAAGTTGGCCGACGCACCAAAGGGATGAAAAGCAAAGAGCCGCTGACCGAGTCGTAAATTTCAGAAATTTTCTTTTAACGCGTTTCCCGATACTCCTTAAAAAACTCGGAGAATAAGGACAGTGATGGTGACACTCGATCCTCTTTTCTTTTGTCACCAAGTGCAAGATTATTACAACTGCCATGAAGCGAGAATATATGGCCTCTGAAAGCTTCCTTGAAACTGTGCGATATCCCTTTCCTCAGGCAAGAACGATCCAACTACAAATGCCATCTAAGGTCACAACCACGTCGAGTGCCAGTTGTTTCCCTTTTCCTTCCCTCTTCCAAGCTTGGCCAATAAAAAAAATGACGATTACTTTACGGGGACGCGATGAAGTTTACGGATCGAAAAACGTATATATACACCTGCTGTGCTCGCTCGCAATGGACACGGCGTCATATTTTTTTTCAAAGGCCCTTTGTCAGTTATGGCCAAAGGGAGGTCGCAGTGGGCCATTTTTCAAGACGCGTTGACACAGTATTGTGGGAGGGCAAAAGCTGATGCTTGTGAAAGCGATATACCCGCCCTCCCCCCCCCCCACATCGCTCTTTTCGAGCTTTTATGTACCTACCTGGGAAAAGTTTTTCGAATTCTGATAAGTTATGGAAATGGAATTTCTGAATTGAAAACTTTGAGGTCCAGGGAATTTCCGAGTGGATTAAAATTGCATGTGGAGGACGATGCCCGCGGGATACGCCAATTTCGAGGGAAAAGGCTGAGGAGCTATTTTACCTAGCATTAACGCAGTCCAAACAAGGTGAATCGGTAAAAATTTCACTGAAAAGGGTCGAGTGGTGGTCCGAATTCGTTATTACGCGTGAGTATACGAGTGAAGCTTTTTGACAGCAAATTTATTATCTTTACCTTTTTTCTTCTTCAAGATATCTAAATCAACTTTCGATGAAGGCATTACATAGATGCAATGGTTTATTTTGACTAATTTAATGTACAATCGATCGCAAAATAGGGATGCTCGTATTATGAATCGGTTGTACATGGCCTGCGAATCTTTGAAAAGCCACTATCGATTGAAACCTCCACTGCGGCTCCACACTCGCTTCTTCCTTCTCGCTCTCTGTACACACGAGCAGGTACACTAATCAAATCATGGATACACGCGAGCGACTCCCCGGCTGCTCTCTTGATTTAACTTACAAATCAGTTTATCAAATATGTTCGTGCGTTTCCAATTGAAAGTTCAAAACTCGATTCACGAGGGGAAAAAAAGGAAAGAGTAACCTTGTCTGTATGTACGTTTATACGTGAATTGGGCCTCGAGAGTTACAGAAAAACTACTTTCGCAAAAAAATTGGTGTATCATATATCATGAGAAAAACTGATGTATCCCCGTGGATTTACCAATGAGAGTGAGGTTGACGCGGTAGTTGCTGGTGGGCGAGTTGGCAAAGTCGACGCGGCACCTAAACACCCCCTGGTCCTCGTAAGTGACGTTTTGGATTTTGAGCCGAGCCACGTCGCCTTGGCTGTCCACTCGGAAGTACATCCGGTTGCCCAGGTCGCCGCTCATCGTCCAGTGCACCGCCTTGTACAAGTCCCGCTCGCGCGCGTCCAGGCTGCAAAATAAAGAAAACGGATTTAAAATAGAAAAAAAAAATGGTGGGAGAGGATGAGTTTTTAATTAAACTTTCAAAGACTTTGCCCGCGGCGCTCTTTTGTGTCCTCGGTAAAATTTACGCTGCGCCGAGCGCACGGGATCGTCGATCGGATTACACTCGTGATGGTGGTCGAATGATTTTTTTAATGGACTCTCCCCTTGCGAGCGAGCTCTGGGTTTGCTTTAATGTTTTTTACTTTTCGAATTTTACGGGCATTGCTTCGAAATGAAAATCTCCCTATCTCTTTGGTACTGGTTTTTTTTTTACCCTCGGAATGACATCGATTGCCTGTCATTGGTTATAACTTGGTTCTTTCAATGTTTTATTATTCGGCGTGTATTACTTTGGTATATTTTATTTTTTTGCTTTGACGATCCAAGGTGGGATACGAGATTGTCTGTTGCTATTTTTTATTCTTTGCTCAATACCCTTTCTGTAAAAACGCTACAGATACAATACATTACGATTTGAAGTAACAGCTCTTTCAATAATTTACCAGGTACTATTCGTACGGTAATTTTCAAAGGATATTATTTTAGAGGATTTTATGAAGGAATGAATATACCTCGGAAAATATGTTGGATCAGCAGATAATCGATGATCATATCTAAAAAACGATTCGTTGACCGAGTCTTGAGATAGAGTCGATCATCTGACGTTGAGTTTATAATGTGCTCTTTATCGTAAGGTAAATTCAATGAATTAATTTTTATGATAACGCTGGCATTTTTTTTCCTATATGTTGGACTGGTGAAGCCCAGTCCACGGAGGAAAAAAAGTAAGGCTCGCTCGTTTGTTGAGATAAGTATACGTTGAAACTCTATTATGCTCTCGAATGTGTGTACAACACATTTAGCTTGCGCAACGTGAACTGAATTTTGGTGCCAGTCTCTTGTACACTTTGAAATTATGCTTGGATTTACAATTCAATGTAACAAATCTACGTGAGACAGTAAAGCTTTGACGTATGAATTTTACAATTGACTTTGGAGAGCAAGGCAAAAACTACCTCCGGGAAAAAAAATAAGAATGGGTACAAAGCTTATACGTAAAAAATACATGAAAATACAATTCTCTCTGGAGGCAAAGTGGGGACCAACTCCGAGAGTAACAACAATTTCTATTTTGTATCCGTCTGCTTTGAATAAACTCCAAGTCGTTCTTTATATATTTATGAAAGAGGAAGGAAAAAAAAACGAAAAAAAAAAGAGGACCCGCACTGTTGGGAAGAGCAAAAGTAGAGAGGCGCGCTCGCGAGCGCAAACACATTTTTCCCCTGAATATGAAACTTACGAGCAAATTGTGTGGCGTTGCGAAACTTTTGCAAAACTTCACGGACAAAGATTTTACGCTCTACTCTTATTTTCAAATGTCAAGGCAATTCGAGCCTCAGTTTATTATTTTTTTTTCCCCTCCTCTTCCCCGCGTATATGCTCTGTAATGCACAGCCGCACGCAGTGCTCCTTCCGCTGTTTACGCTCCAAAGATCCAAGAAAAGGTGAGGCACACACGAGTTCTCGTTTAAATTACACCAGCGATGAAGAGCCCCGGCACAGGAAGCAAGTAGAGTGCGACGAAATTTTTTTTTCCTCCCTCTGTTCTCCCTCGGTTTTTTCTCGGAAGGAAAAGTATGACGTTTGACCCGTCGTAATTGGTGCTGGTGAATCAAAGCTTTCAAACACGCTTTTATCGCGTTATTTACGACAACCGCCTAATTGATGCGAATAAATTTCTCGATTAGTCCACGCGTTCCGGCAGAGGTAAAAATAGACGCACTTTGGACGAGCCGAGCGAAACAGAGGAAACGACGAAAAAAAAAAAAAAAAGAGGTCGCGTTACGAGATTGCAACGACACGAGACGATATTCACCCTCGACAGCAAACGAGAAAGCGAACGGGCGCTGGGGGGGGGGGGGGGGGAAAAA